AGAGAAATTTTTTTTGACTTCATGTTTAGTTTTGATTAGGTTTGACTAAGTAAGGAGTACTCCATTGGTTAGACTAAGTCTTATGTTGCCTTAGTGAGAAGTGGAAGTTCTAGAAGTTGGAAAGACACAAATAGCATATCGTCACCTCAATCTAAGAATTAATAAACATCTAAAAGGTTTAGGAGGCCAATAGCATGTTGCCCCTTATTGATAACGTGTCAATCTTACTATTAATTACCTTTGTAAAAGTAAGTTAGATAAAAATTACCATTTGTTACTATGGTAAATTCTCAAGTAGTATATATAGAAAGGTAGGGAAGAACCTCTCCAGCAAGTTTGGAGAGTTCATATGTAGACTTGTTTCATATATGAAAGAGTGACAAATTTTCTGTACCTTGGAGTGTTGATGTGTGTTTGAGTTAGAGTGATATCTTGAGAGATTGTGTGAGAAGGTGTTTTGGGCTATGAGTATGTAGAGGAATCCTAGTCTTCTAGAACCATAATGAGCTACCAAAAAGCCATCTGAGATAAACTTGAGTGAGAGTCAGCCCGGATGTTGCAGGTCCCATCGGGTAAAATGGAACGTATTGGTTCCCATCAAGTAGTTAGCATTTTGATGGGGTCCCATCAAGCAAATTTCTCCTAGATTTATTGATCCATAAAAAATGAAACGTGTTGATGAAAGGTTATATAAGTTGAAACTTCCATCACACTTGAAAATACATCCGAGTATTCATGTGTCATAACCAAAAGAAAACAATCAAAACAATTCACCAACCTTGAGAGATGACCATGATGAGTTTGAGATAGAAATGATACTCAAGAAGCGTATTCAAGGTCAAAATATCCCAAAGTAGAGTATTTGATTCAATGAAAATATTATCCATCATATGAATCAACTTGAAAACCAACTTCAAAATTTTTTAAAAACACCTTCAATAGTTAAAGAGTTGGAACGTATGTGCAATTAGGACGTTGAATCTTAAAAGTAGGGAGATTTGCAACTATCTTTAGTTAGTTAGAACTAAAGTATAGGTTATTCAAGATTGAGTAAAATATATGATAGTCAAATAACTATAGTATCATATCAATAATTCGTTTGTTCATTAGATTTATTTGCCATGTCATCAATTCACTAGGAGTGAATTGAATGGTGGTATTTATCTTCATTTATGTGGTTGAAGTATCTACATAAGGAAGAATATAATCATTCTATGTATCTTATTTTGAGAGCTTAGGTTTTATTTTTAAATGATTTTTTTTCTAAACCCTAGTGTTGTAATGATAAATCATTTTTTTTTTGCATTTATTCAAATCACATTCAAGACATTGTAAGTTAATGACATTGTCATCTTGTAGCAATCAATTGAACTGGACAACTTGATGACAGAAATATGGTGTGGAATTGATATTCATTTGACACACAATGACTGGTTGTTTGATGATGTTGAGGAGCTTGAAGCTCACGAGCATTGTTGCACGGCAAGTTTGCATGCCGACATTGTTAAGTTTCCGATGCAAAAATTTATCAATGATATTCTAGATAGGTTGCAAATTCATGTCAAAATACATAGATTAACAGAGTATATTGATCAAATTAAAGAAGATTACTAAGAGTTGCTGCACACTCTAAAAAACGAGCATAATGTCAAGACTACGCTTTAAAATCATGACAAAAAAAAGTTTTCAACAAGATTTAGAATTTGATCAAATGAATTAAGAAAGACAATTACACTCATTTTGTAATGTTGAAAAATTTCAATGGTGATCTGATAATAGTCTTAGCAAACACATGCTCTGCCAAATTTGACTTCTTTGTCATGAAATGAAAAAAAACAATTGTCAAACAAATTTGCAATGCCTATATCTTGCTCGCATCATGCACGTGCATCAGTACATTATTTTAAAAGCATTATTTTCATGATATCAATACAAATGTCACAAATGGCAATTTTTCAGAATTATTGGATGCCATAATAAACAAAAAGGTGGCATAAGTTTTTTTATAAGAGGTCAATCTTTCTTTTCAAACCTTCTCTTGAATTTTTCCAAGAATTATTCAAGGTTTGCCGAAAATCAAAATTATGCAATTTTGGTAATTTGTGATTCAATGAGTTCAACTTGTGTTTCTTTATTCTGAATATCTGTGTGGTTGGAGACAAAAATAAAATCAATATTGATTGATAAAATGTTTTGATTGATCTATGTCAAATTTCTTTAGCAGACTTACTTGAGATGATTTTGTTGCTTGTGAAACTAGATTTGCTACCAAAGTTGAAACATGGATTGAAGCACAATTAACTTGGAGCTATTTCATGACATTTTGTAGTCATACATTTCGCAGCATGACTATTACAATATGTTGGATGTTGGAAGTGTAACTTGTCTCAAATGTGATACATTTGGAGGTTTACAAGTAAATGAAGTAGCAAATCTTCACGTCATGTACTCTCAGGCAATAATGGAAAATAAAGATCTGGAAATTTTGGATCAAGAGTGATAATTAATTCTCGTCAAATTTTTACAATTGAGTGCTATTTTTTCAAAATAGCACTCAAAGTGAAAAAATTGGAAGTTGTAACACTCAAAGTGAAAAAATTTAAAGTAGTAACACTTGAAACAAGAAAATAAAAATAATTGAAGTGAGAAAACTGGAAGTGGTATTGATATTAGTACTGTAAATACAATGATGTTGACAAAAATGAGATACAATGTCTCGAAACTCTCCGAATTTAATGCTAGTATGTTATTAATAACTCTAAAGTTGGAAAATTGTCATTGCATCAAAAGTTGAAAAAAGTTGAAATCATTTTCAAAGTTGCAAAAAATGTACACCGACTCCACACAATCATTGGTTTTGTATATCAAGTCAATAACAATTACACACTTGACTTGATATTGTTATGTTTATTTGCAAGATAAATAAATACATGTTAAATTTATGATAGATGTATTGGAAAGATGTGGTATGAATTCTCAAGTGATTCAAGATGATTAAAAGTTATGGTCTTTAATTTGATAATTTATTCAAAATGCTAAATCCTTGTTAGATTATGGACAACAAAAATCTTTGATTGAATATGTGTTTATATTTGATGATGGATGATAAACTGAAAATATTTGTAGATTAGTCACCAAAAAAAGTTCAAATATGTGATGGCAGCAAAATATGTGATGGCAGCAAGAGCAACCAAGTAGATTATTTGATTGGATAAAGCTATCATTGAGATTGAATTGAAACATGAGTGTCATTTTTTATTGTGATAATTAGAATGCATTATTTTTTCTAACAAACCAAATGTTGGAGACGGAAGTGAAGCACATTGATAACCTATATCTCTTTATTAGAGATGTAATTTTGATTAGAAAGTTGAGGTATTCAAAATTAACATTAGCCTCAATCTAGCTGATGCATTGATTAAAAATTAATCTTTCAGATAGTTTGAAATACGTTGTGCTCCTTTGCAAGTTTCACATGGAAATAAAAAGTAGAATGTGAATAGAATTTTGTTATATATATTATATCTACAATTAAGTTCTTGTTTTCCTCAAGTTTACAAAGATACATGTGTATGTTTTTTTGATGATTTTTTCTAGAGTAACCATATGAATATTACAGATTGATATGTATATAATTACTCTACAAAAGGTTAAAAATGGGATTTTAAAATGCTAACTAAAGTTTTGATTATGTTTTTGAAGACGATCATGACTTGAATGAGCTTAGGGTACACATTTTGCGGAGTTAATTCGAATTTTGGTTAGATTAATACCAATTACTTAAACTGGTATATTTTTCCATATATAAAAAATTTGACCCAAGTTCAGCAACACAATCAAGGTTTTTTGGTTTGTAAAGTCAGAATTGTTTCAGTTGGTGTAATTTGCATTGATGAACCGCTGGTGTCTTTGTGACGGTTGTGTACTTGTATATCGTTCGCGAAATTAATGCTTGTTTGCTATTGTACACAATTAAAAAATTTATACATTATTACAGATGTTCATTTGATAAATTTAATCTAATCTAATTTTTTAATGTGCATTAAAGTGATTACCAATTTCATGATTTGTTCACGTTTGGATCATAATGTTAAAAAAATGTAAGCCTTTATACATGATCAGTAGTATTAGGTTTAACCAAAATTTTCGCCAAATGAAAGTTACATTTAACTAACATTCAATGATATTTGAACTGCGAAGAAATTAAATTTTAGCGATATCTACTTAATGTTTCATATTCTTTTGATAAAAACTATCTTATAGCAATGGCGCATATCAAATTAATAATATTTTGTGTTCAAAATAATCAAGACGTTTGACTTATCAAAAGGTCCATGCATAAATATAAATATCTTCAAGGACGGTCAGTGATTGTTGTTTAAATGGAGGCTATGTGTTTGCTAGTTCACAATATATCAAAAGTTCGTAGAAAAGTTTCGACACTCTTGGTGGTCGCTTGCATTACAGTGATTAGCGATCTTCACGGGACAGATGAGTTTGTTGAAGTCATTCTGAACTGCGCTTCGTAAGTACAGTACGTCGTTGTATTTGCATGCTTCATAATTTAACCGTGGTCTCAGATCCATGCCACCAGGTGAACATACGTCTACCATGTAATACAGAAGACTGTCGTGTGGCGGTTTTTGTTTTAATCGCGTCGTTCTTCCTACATGCGATATCAGAGTCCCATAATGGATACAACTTGTCTCTTGTGCCCTTTGGTTTCCATAGCTTTACGACTGGATGGGTCTGCGCAGTTGTTTCGCCTCAGTACTCGGGGCCGCCTGTGCTTTTCCCGTTCGCCTTGAAGAGTTCGGATTTGACAGGCAGAAGTATCAGATGCGGATTCTGGAGGCATCAAATAGAAGAGATAATGCAGGAAGATGCACCTCTCATATCCGTGGCCTTGAGCCTCGTACAAGGCAGAAGAAAGAGGAATGGAAAGTCGGGCCCCGAGCGGGAATAGGGAAAGAAACACTCACCACAGATCCCATTACATGGCACGGGCCTGGACGCTGAAGCTTCTGGACCACAAGAAGGAAGCACGGCCTGCGCAGGGGCATGCATTCGAACATACACGGCAACTGAAGCACAAGAGCGAGCGAGGCCCAAGATAAGGGAGGAATGATGCATTGCCAGCTTCGGGTTCAGTGTCCATCGCAGACGAAACAAGGCTCGTGGATTTGAGTGATCGATACCGCGCGAGGGTCGTCTTGCCGGACTGCGCGAGGGACAGAAGCGAGTAGACAGGCAGCCATGGCAATGCATGTTATGGTTGCGCACGGTACAGTGGTTTCTTTGTCACCTTTGGCGCTGTCGGGAGGCTCATTTGCCGAGAGCAGGAGGGTGCTCGCAGCAGTGGCCGGTTGTGGTGTGACTAGGGGTGATTTGCATGGATCGTTGCAACATGTAGCAGCAGAATCGCGCGCAGGACTGTCGACGAGGAGACAGAGCAGGGGAATTCGTACCAGGGCCGAGCAAACAGGTGGGGGAGATGGCTCCGCCGCCACAACCGTGATAGATGGGGCTCTTGTCCAAGTCGAAGGAGGAATCACAGAGGTTGACAAAGATACTTTCTGGCCGCTGGTTAAGTCTGCGGGAGAGAAAGTCGTGGTGTTGGACATGTACACTCAGTGGTGCGGGCCTTGTAAGCTGATGCTCCCCAAACTCCAGGCCCTCGCTGCAACCATGGATGATGTCATTTTCTGCAAGCTCGACTGCAATCAAGATAACAAGCCCTTGGCCAAGGAGCTGGGAATCAAAGTTGTTCCCACTTTTAAGATTTTCAAATCTGACACATTGGTGGGCAGCGTCTCCGGGGCCAAATACGATGACCTAGTCAAGGCAATTGAAAGTGCTCGTTCTGGTCAATAATATGTATGAATGGTCGTGATGACATTTTTGTGGATTATGTACAGAGTAATATAAATGATTCTTTCCTGTTTCTTCCATGTCTTTCTGGAGTTTATTACTGTCGAGTAGCAAAGTTGATCAAAATACTCTTGATTGTATCGTGTAAATATCACGCGATGCTGACTTCAAATTGATTTGATCGACCTTGTCCATGTCCCTTGCATCAACAAATCAAAATCCGAGGTCTGAGGTCCGACATTATGTACCAGCTGTTTTCACACCTTGTCGACTGAGATCGGAGTGAATGTGAAGAAAGCGAACTTCTGATATTGATGAGGAATTTTATGTCTCCGTACGTCGTGCATGTTTCATCCGGCAATTTATGGAACTCAGTGTTCCGAGGACGTCGAAACTTGGAATCCTTCACTTACTCCAAATCCCCAGGTTTGTCTACATAGTAAATCGCGGAAGTCCTAGATATTCTATCGCGATTGAGTTGACAGAGCGGATGGTCAAGATACTTCAGCTTACCGGAGGAAAGCTGTGTTACACAGCCTGCTCTTGACTGCAGATGATAAGCAACAGGATGATGAACTCCTTGTTTCGGTGCGAAATTACAGTAGCCAAACTTGTCGAAATCCTCTGTCGGAGTCAAGTACTCCTTGCTGATAGTAAGCGATTTGTTTGAATTCATAGCGAGTAATCTCACGATACTTCACACGACAACTATTTTTTGACGTGCCTTGAGATATTGACTCCTAGAATCTGAAAGCCGTGATGAGATAGAAAGGGAATAAAGGGAAGCTGTGGGCACGATCAAAAAAATGTTTCTGGGACTGAAGCTCACCGGTTGTCTTAATGTTACACAGCGACGCAATGTGTTGTGGTGAGGACTAGAACAAACAAAGTTTTCTCACAATAGTGATTGATACTTCTGTCCCTAATTTAAACACTCATTCTTCCATATCAAAACTAAAAGCTATGTCATCTGAAGTCGAATCTCTAAATTTAAAAATTTGATGTTGAACACTTTATCAAACCTAAAGCCTCACCGGTGTAAAGCGACACAAACAATGAGTCGAATTAGTTTGTGCATTCTTATAAGGATAGTGATAATAGTAATGATGTTCTGGATTTTGAATCTCGAAGTGACTGAAATTTGATAAAAAACGAGATACAAATGGTTTGGAGTCCGAAGAACTGAAGCTTGTATTATCTGTCTCTACAGCTTGCATGACATACTAGATGGATATATTTTCTTCCACTTTTTAATATAATGCTTTAGTGTTCAAAGTAATGACAAACGGACCAGTCCTTCAGTGGATTGTTAAATTCCTTAACATGCATTTCTTTGATGGGTAATTATTTTGAGTGAGAAATAGAAGAAGCACAAGAATTTGTTATATCAGTCAATGAAGGTGCTCTTATTATGAGCGCGTCGAACACTTCATATGGCAGAACACGGATGTTTGTGAAAAACCATCAGATATCGTGAGAACATGTGACGGCATAAAAATAAAATACGAAAGTGAAGGAAAGGGAGTTGAGGGCGAGATTAGAGCATAATCATCGCAGTTTTAGATCCCATCGCACCAAAAGAGAAAGAATGTTAGTTTATTTTGCAACGCTCAAAGAGGAAAAGATAATAAAAAAGACAGTTGACTAATGAGGCTTAAGTCTATATCTAAGTAGAAAATGAGCGAAATCCGATATTTATCACCTATGAGACTTCCGAAGAGGCGTAGTAGATTGACCCGATTCCCATCATGGGCTTAACACATGCATGTCTTCGCGATAAAGACATCTAATGTTTGGAAGATATTAAGTAATATGTATCATGCTTAAACAAGATGAACAGGAGACAATTTTTTTTGCACAGTACTTGTCAAGTGACAAGCAGACGTAGACGGCGAGTGTCTTTCGATTTTACCTATGAGAAACTTATACCGAGAAACTTAATCCTGGCAAGTTGTTAGACACTATGCAGATTCGAATAATTGACAAGATCCACCTTGAATACATCAACATGGATCGTATCGACTTTTCGAACTTTCATGATCTTGAAAACTTACAGGTCAGAATGACGTAGAATAAGAATGCCTTGCTAATTCCCATTTTTTGTCGTCATGTATTACAAAATTGAAAGGATGTAGCTGATCTTGAGTCCACGAATGCAAGCAAAAGTCGAGCTTCCTTCTCCTTTAAAAAATTTAAATGTTCTCATGTAGCTTATAAAAAAATGATACGGAAAACATGAAAATGCAATTTCCTTGAAGAAATGATTTACGATTGGAGTCTTTTGTGCCATATTTTATAGATCCCATGAAATTTCTTTTAGGTGGGTATTGCATGTATCACGTCATCGACTGAAAATTCCCCACTACCATATTTCAGCTTTCAGGTTTGTCATTGAATCAATGATGCGGCAAATATTGCTGCCCAGCTGTAGAACTGAAGATATGGCGATGCACTTGGAAGTTGAGGCGATAGTCGAGCTGAAAACGTGGTGAGTAGCATGTGCTCTGGAATAAAACAAAAGCAGACAGTCTTTGACTGAGAGCGTAGGTACTGTATTCTCTTCCGGCTCCTAATTTTCAGTTTGTTCAGATGGAAAAGTTATCCTGTATCGTTGCTTCCAGTCGAAGTGCCGTTGGTACCTTTGAGTCGCTCGTTGACCTGGAGGGCAAGCAAGTGACTGCCTGCCTTCGGCTTCAGTGCTGCGTGCGGGGGCTCATTGCTTCCCCTGCAGGTCCTGTCGAGGTACTCCGAGCTCACACACCTTTCAAATCTGGAAGACATCGGCCGGCTTCGAGGCGTAGGGTGGGTGCTGGAGGATAGAGCACAGAAGATGGCGAACTGCTGGCCGGGAACACTAGTTTCTCGTACATCTGCTATGGCGGTTTTGGCAGCCGCCGTGCTGATGATGGAGACGGGGAGGAGGCTGACAGTGGCCAACTCTGCGAACCAAAGTGTTCGCGTTCAGCAGCGTGATCAGATGCTGTTGCAGGCCCTGGTTCTGCGTCGGACCGGAGGCGACTTGTAAGTGTGATGTGCTTAGTAGGTTTGGCTACTTAGAGATTGTGTGGATAGTTGCAGTGAGTGTTATCTCAACCGGGCCTTAGTTGTTTGTCAATCCCCCCTTGTGAATCGAAGGTGGACATGTGGCCTAGATCGTTACCTCGAAGCTGATAAACTGAGCAAGCAGGCAGCTGAGTCTCTAGGTTAGAAACTGGTCTGAGTCCAGTGCCCATTACACCGTCTGCTGTGTGAGAAAGCTGCGGTTTATCTTTCATTTGTAGCCTGACAGCCGATTTTCGAAAAGTTAGAGTTGTTACGCTGCCTTGGAGTGGGTACACGTGTTTTGCGCCTACAGATCGACCGTACGCCTCATGCATAGTTTTTGGCACTTGGGAGTAAAAATTGTCTCTTGCTCGCTGGGCACAAGTTGAGTATTCGGAGGAGATCAGAGACTTATCTGACTATTCAATTGAGTTGGAAATGGATCATCAGCTTGAGCCAAGAGTGGAGCACTGGTTGGTGCTCGCGAATGAATTGGGATGAGTCCAGTATCAGGCTCGAAGCTTGTGAGCGTAGTGCAAGCATCAACCATCTTTACTACACTCCTGCTACGCTTGGTTCTATTCCGCCCTTGTATTGTGACCAAAAGAGGATAGAGCAGGTTTTGAGATATACCATCAAAAAAGTTCCGTAAATAAACTCGAGTACGAACGATAATAAGTCTCTCGTGCCAAAAACTTGTAACTCAAGGTTTCTTTTTCCTACAGATAATGTGGATTGTTTTATCGGGGAAGCTGCTTCGCTGGGTGCTCAACTGGCTGTCTGTCCAGAGGCTTTTATTGTTGGATATCCGCGTGGTGCTACGTCCGTTATCGGCAGTCGTTCTGTGAAAGGTCGTGAGGATTATCGCAAATACCTTGCCTCAGCTGTAAATGAGCCAGGTCAGTGTTATTTCGCAATGTTCCTAACATCGGATGAATGTCCTGTATACTTACACAAACTCAGGAGTGATTATCGTAATTTCGCAAATTACTATTGCTAGAGACTGGCTTCTATAAAGTCTCAGGTTGAACATGCTCACTGTTGTCCCCGTAAAGTAAAAACATTCACCTAATCAAGCTCTATCCTGTCATTCACGGGTACTTTCCTCAGTGGTAGAGGTCGTCATGTATTGAGCTGGTCCTTCTGCTGAATTTACCTTTCATAAAACTTGACATTTTATTTGTTTTCCATGTATTTTGCTTTCGCGTTACTCATCATTAAAAGGCTTTGATTGCAGGTCCGGAAGCGGACAGGCTAGGTGCAATATCTGGTAGATTCAAAGTACACTTGTTCATGAGCGTTATTGAGCCGTCAGGTGGAATACTGTATTGTTCACTTTTATATTTTGATTCTCAAGAGGATACGTGGGAAAACACCGAAAGATCATGCGAACTGCTTCGTAATGGTTGATTTGGGGCTTCGGTGATGGTTCCACTTTGCCTGTATATGACACACCAGTTTGAAGTGTATGGTGGCTTAATATGTCGGGAGAATAGGAAGCCGCTCCTAAGAACTGCGATGTATGCCAAAGATAGGTTATATTCACCAAAGTTTTATTGAGAAAATCTTCACTGGTCCAATATTTTCAGTAGTCTGCTTAGTTTTTATGCCAATTTGTGATAAGTGGTGAAAAGTGTAACGGATGATCAGATCCTAACAACAATGGCTCTGAACTGAATACGTCTCTTCGCATGTACCTCGGCAGGTGTAAAATTGTATTGTGTTCCGACATCAGATGCCAGAGGTAGCTGGAAATCATCCATATTACAGATCGCCATGGAAGGTGGTTGTTTTGTGTTATCTGCGAATTAGTTTGGTGAAGGAAAGAGTTTAAGTTTGTACCCGAGTACACACCTTCGGAGGCTTTGGGGACCTGGAGCATTCTCTGGACGCAGTTGTTTGGTGGTGGTGAGAGTTTCATAATGTCTCCCACAGGCAACTTAACTGCTGGCTCAAATCGTGAAGTCGATTCACTTCTTGTTGCAGACTTAGGTGAGTGATGGAACCGTGTAGTTGACATGCTGCTAAGCGGACATGTGTATCAAATGTTTGTGAATTTTGAAGCAATTGTTTGAAGCTAAGTAGAGTTCAGTTCGGACATTGAGTTTATTACAAGATAGAGTCCGTGAGTGTTTCTCAAGCTGATCTTTATAGCAGGTTTGAGTAGGAGTGAGAGAGGAAGGTGTGAGTATCTGCTGTTATTTTCTGTTGTGTGGAGCATCTAGTTTTGTCTAGTTTGAAAAAATTTCTGGAATGGGGTGACTTCTAGGGTTCGATTTGTTGTTGGTCACCTGACATCACTTATCTGATGTCACCTGATATCAGGAAGGTGATTGCATGAAAGGATTATCAGGGAGATGTGGATTTGAAGTTGGAACCATTCACATAAAAATTGACCTTCTTCCCATCGCACCACAATCGCGTAATATTCTATATTTATCAGTCAGAAGAATATTGTTGTCTTATTTCAGATTTTCAGCCAATATATACAATGAAGTTGGGTTATCATAGCTAGACTTGAATCTTCTTTTTATGGGCTCTACACTTCCATCCTGCAAAATTTGCTCCCGGGTTTCGATTCATTACTAACTAATAGTAACAATGATGAAAAGTAAAGTGTTTGCCATGATGTATTCACAAAGGGTAGGGGATGGAGCCTCTTGGACAGAAAATAATTATCCAATATTCGCAATTTGGGAAAAAGATGGAATGAGGTGAAGTCCGCAGCATCTCAGCCGGCGAAGAAGAAAAGACGATATTACTTCACTAACATCACCTGATATCAGGGATTTAATATCGCCTTTCCCTCCCCACCAGCCGAAGGGATCCGGATTTGAACTCAGGACCTCCAGTTCCCAAAGTGCCGCCCTTACCATTGGGCTACCTTCACTTGGTGTCCAGCAAACAAGCCAGTTAGAAATTTATGATCTTAATGATCTCACTGAATAACTCCCGCCCTGTCCCGCCCTCCTGCTGCTGTTGATGTACAGTCCTGCTCACTGTTGTCCCCGTAAAGGAAAAGCATTCACCCAATCAAGCTCTATCCTGTCATTCACGGGTACTTTTCTCAGTGGTAGAGGTCGTCATGTGTTGAGCTGGTCCTTCTGCTGAATTTACGTTTCATAGAACTTGATCTTTTATTTGTTTTCCATGTGTTTTGCTTTCGCGTTACTCATCATTAAAAGGCTTTGATTGCAGGTCCGGAAGCGGACAGGCTAGGTGCAATATCTGGTAGATTCAAAGTACGCTTGTTCATGGGCGTTATTGAGCCTTCAGGTAGACAACCTTATTGTTCACTTTTATATTTTGATTCTCAAGGAGGAGACAAGGGAAAACACCGAAAGATCATGCGAACTGCTTCGTAATGGTTGATTTGGAGCTTCGGTGATGGTTCCACTTTGCCTGTCTATGACACACCAGTTTGAACGGTGGGGTGGCTTAATATGTCGGGTTTGTAGGAAGCCGCTTCTAATACTGCGATGTATGCCAAAGATAGGTGATATGCACCAAAGTTTTATGGAGAAAATCTTCACTGGCCCAATATCTTCAGTAGGCTGCTTAGTTTTTAAGCCAATTTGTGATAAGTGGTGAAAAGTGTAACGAATGATCAGATCCTAACAACAATGGCTCTGAACTGAATACGTCTCTTCGCATGTACCTTGGCAGGTGTAAAATTGTATTGTGTTCCGACATCAGATGCCAGAGGTAGCTGGAAATCATCCATATTACACATCGCCATGGAAGGTGGTTGTTTTGGGTTATCTGCGAATTAGTTTGGTTGAAGGAAAGAGTTTAGGTTTGTACCCGAGTACACACCTTCGGAGGCTTTGGGGACCTGGAGCATTCTCTGGACGCAGTTGTTTGGTGGTGGTGAGAGTTTCATAATGTCTCCCACAGGCAACTTAACTGCTGGCTCAAATCGTGAAGTCGATTCACTTCTTGTTGCAGACTTAGGTGAGTGATGGAACCGTGTAGTTGATATTTTACACCTTGGCAGGTGTAAAATTGTATTGTGTTCCGACATCAGATGCCAGAGGTAGCTGGAAATCATCCATATTACACATCGCCATGGAAGGTGGTTGTTTTGGGTTATCTGCGAATTAGTTTGGTTGAAGGAAAGAGTTTAGGTTTGTACCCGAGTACACACCTTCGGAGGCTTTGGGGACCTGGAGCATTCTCTGGACGCAGTTGTTTGGTGGTGGTGAGAGTTTCATAATGTCTCCCACAGGCAACTTAACTGCTGGCTCAAATCGTGAAGTCGATTCACTTCTTGTTGCAGACTTAGGTGAGTGATGGAACCGTGTAGTTGATATGCTGCTAAGCGGACATGTGTATCAAATGTTTGTGAATTTTGAAGCAATTGTTTGAAGCTAAGTAGAGTTCAGTTCGGACATTGAGTTTATTACAAGATAGAGTCCGTGAGTGTTTCTCAAGCTGATCTTTATAGCAGGTATGAGTAGGAGTGAGAGAGGAAGGTGTGAGTATCTGCTGTTATTTTCTGTTGTGTGGAGCATCGAGTTTTGTCTAGTTTGAAAAGATTTCTGGAATGCGGTGATTTCTGGGGTTCCATCCTGTTGTTGGTCACCTGACATCACTTATCTGATGTCACCTGATATCAGGAAGGTGATGGCATGAAAGAATTATCAGGGAGATGTGGATTTGAAGTTGGAACTATTAACATATAAGTTGACCTTCTTCCCATCGCACCACAATCGCGTAATATTCTATATTTATCAGTCAGAAGAAATTTGTTGTCTTATTTCAGATTTTCAGCCAATATATACAATGAAGTTGGGTTATCATAGCTAGACTTGAATCTTCTTTTTATGGGCTCTACACCCCCATCCTGCAAGAAATGCTCCCGGGTTTCGATACATTACTAACTAATAGTAATAATGATGAAAAGCAAAGTGTTTATCATGATGTATTCACAAAGGGTCGGGGATGGAGCCTCTTGGACAGAATATTATTATCCAATATTCGCAATTTGGGAAAAAGATGGAATGAGGTGAAGTCCGCAGCATCTCAGCCGGCGAAGAGAAAAAGGCGATATTACTTCACTAACATCACCTGATATCAGGGATTTAATATCGCCTGTCCCTCCCCACCGGCCGAAGGGATCCGGATTTGAACTCAGGACCTCCAGTTCCCAAAGTGCCGCCCTTACCATTGGGCTACCTTCACTTGGTGTCCAGCAAACAAGCCAGTTAGAAATTTATGATCTTAATGATCTCACTGAATAACTCCTGCCCTGTCCCGCCCTCCTGCTGATCCGCCCTCCTCCTACTGCTGAAGTACCGCCTCCTGCCGCTGGTGCTGTACCGCCTTCTGTACCGCCCTGCTGTATCGCCCTCCTGTACCTCCCTATTGCTGCTGTTGAGGTACAGCCCTGCTGTACCGCCCTCCGGCTGGTGCTGTACGGCCCTCCTGTACCTCCCTATTGCTGCTGTTGAGGTACAGCCCTGCTGTACCGCCCTCCGGCTGGTGTTGTACCGCCCTCCTGTACCTCCCTATTGCTGCTGTTGAGGTACAGCCCTGCTGTACCGCCCTCCGGCTGGTGCTGTACCGCCCTCCTGTACCTCCCTATTGCTGCTGTTGAGGTACAGCCCTGCTGTACCGCCCTCCGGCTGGTGCTGTACCGCCTTCTGTACAGCCCTGCTGTACCGCCCTCCGGCTGTTCTTGCTGATGTCCCGCCGTGCGTCCTGCTCACTGTTGTCCGCGTAAAGGGAAAACAATCACCCAATCAGGCTCTATCCTGTCACTCACGGGTACTTTTCTCAGTGGTAGAGGTCGTCATGTGTTGAGCTGTTCCTTCTGCTGAATTCACGTTTCATAGAACTTGATCTTTTATTTGTTTTCCATGTGTTTTGCTTTGGCGTCACTCATCATTAAAAGGCTTTGATCGCAGGTCCGGAAACGGACAGGCTAGGTGCAATATCTGGTAGATTCAAAGTACACTTGTTCATAGGCATTATTGAGCCGTCAGGTGGAACACTGTATTGTTCACTTTTATATTTTGATTCTCAAGGAGGATACGAGGGTAAACACCGAAAGATCATGCGAACTGCTTCGTAATGGTTGATTTGGGACTTCGGTGATGGTTCCACTTTGCCTGTCTATGATACACCAGCTTGAAGGGTGGGGTGGCTTAATATGTCGGGTTTGTAGGAAGCCGCTTCTAAGAACTGCGATGTCTGCCAAAGATAGGTTATATGCACCAAAGTTTTATGGAGAAAATCTTCACTGGCCCAATATTTTCAGTAGGCTGCTTAGTTTTTATGCCAATTTGTGATAAGTGGTGAAAAGTGTAACAGATGATCAGATCCTAACAACAATGGCTCTGAACTGAATACGTCTCTTCGCATGTACCTCGGCAGGTGTAAAAGTGTTTTGTGTTCCGACATCAGATGCTAGAGGTAGCTGGAAATCATCCATATTACACATCGCCATAGAAGGTGGTTGTTTTGGGTTATCTGCGAATTAGTTTGGTTGAAGGAAAGAGTTTAGGTTTGTACCCGAGTACACACCTTCTGAGGCTTTGGGGACCTGGAGCATTCTCTGGACGCAGCTGTTTTGTGGTGGTGAGAGTTTCATAATGTCTCCCACAGGCAACTTAACTGCTGGCTCAAATCGTGAAGTCGATTCACTTCTTGTTGCAGACTTAGGTGAGTGATGGAACTGTGTAGTTGATATGCTGCTAAGCGGACATGTGTGTCGAATGTTTGTGAATTTTGAGGCAATTGTTTGAAGCTAAGTAGAGTTCAGTTCGGACATTGAGTTTATTACAAGATAGAGTCCGTGAGTGTTTCTCAAGATGATCTTTATAGCAGGTATGAGTAGGAGTGAGAGAGGAAGGTGTGAGTATCTGCTGTTATTTTCTGTTGTGTGGAGAATCGAGTTTTGTCTAGTTTGAAAAGAAATGGAATGCGGTGATTTCAGGGGTTCCATCCTGTTGTTGGTCACCTGACATCACTTATCTGATGTCACCTGATGTCAGGAAGGTGATGGCATGAAAGAATTATCAGGGAAATGTAGATTTGAAGTTGGAACTATTAACATATAAGTTGACCTTCTTCCCATCGCACCACAATCGCGTAATATTCTATATTTATCAGTCAGAAGAAATTTGTTGTCTTATTTCAGATTTTCAGCCAATATATACAATGAAGTTGGGTTATCATAGCTAGACTTGAATCTTCTTTTTATGGGCTCTACACCCCCATCCTGCAAAATTTGCTCCCGGGTTTCGATACATTACTATCTAATAGTAACAATGATGAAAAGCAAAGTGTTTGCCATGATGTACTCACAAAGGGTCGGGGATGGAGCCTCTTCGGCAGATTGTTATTATCCAATATTCGCAATTTGGGAAAAAGATGGAATGAGGTGAAGTCCGCAGCTCCTCAGCTGGCGAAGAGACAGAGGCGATATTATTTCACTAACATCACCTTATATCAGGGATTTAATATCGCCTGTCCCTACCAGCCGAAGGGATCCGGATTTGAACTCAGGACCCCCAGTTCCCAAAGTGGCACCCTTACCATTGGGCCACAATCACTTGGTGTCCAGGAAACAAATCAGTTCGAAATTTATGATCTTAATGATCTCACTGATTAATTCCTGCTGTCCCGCCCTCCTGCTGATCCCCCTTCCTCCTGCTGCTGAAGTACCGCCTCCTGCCGCTGTTGCTGTACCGCCCTATTGCTGCTGTTGAGGTACAGCCCTGCTGTACCGCCCTCCGGCTGTTTGCTGCTGTCCCGCCGTGCGTACTGCTCACTGTTGTCCTCGTAAAGGAAAAACATTCACCCAATCAAGCTCTATCCTGTCACTCACGGGTACTTTTCTTAGTGGTAGAGGTCGTCATGTGTTGAGCTGTTCCTTCTGCTGACTTTTCGTTTCATAGAACTTGATCTTTTATTTGTTTTCCATGTGTTTTGCTTTGGCGTTGCTTATCGTTAAAAGGCTTTGATTGCAGGTCCGGAAACGGACAGGCTAGGTGCAATATCTGGTAGATTCAAAGTACACTTGTTCATAGGCGTTATTGAGCCGTCAGGTGGAACACTGTGTTGTTTTTGTAAAAATTTCTGGAATGGGGTGACTTCTAGGGTTCCATCCTGTTGTTGGTCACCTGACATCACTTATCTGATGTCACCTGATATCAGGAAGGTGATGGCATGAAAGAATTATCAGTGAGATGTGGATTTGAAGTTGGAACTATTAACTATTAACATATAAACAAATCAGTTCGAAATTTATGATCTTAATGTTCTCACTGAATAACTCCTGCTGTCCCGCCCTGTCCCGCCCTCCTGCTGATCCGCTCTCCTCCTGCTGCTGAAGTACCGCCTTCTGGCGCTGTCGCTGTACCACCTTCTGGACCGCCCTACTGTACTGCCCTCCTGCAGCTGTTGCTGCTGTTCCGCCGTGCGTCCTTATGGTACTCATGATCTACTGTAGGTCGCTCTCCTTCAAGCATGAAATCCATCTTTGAATGTTACAATGACATCTGTCCCGCTATTTATGGTATAGTCGTTTGACATCACTCCTGCAACGATGAAGTACTTGCAAAACTTGACTATAGTTTCCAGATGCTGAAATTGGTCCACGGAGTTTACGGGAGTGTCCAGAACAAGGGTAGGAAGTCCCACCGATGTGCAGCGGGCTAGCTTAGCTTATCACAGTGGCCGGTCTTTGTCGACGTTGCGAAATAGCTTCCTGTCAAGGCCGACCGGTCTGGGATGGAGCCTTGCAAGAAGCCTCGAGGAGCTCAGCTCAGTGCGAGCACGTGCTTTACTGCACGTTTCTCGTTTCTCGATTAGCCCCATAACTCCGACTTTCTAGGAACAAAATTCGCCTGCATGTACATTACGCAGTTACCAGTCAACGCTGTGCCTTTCCCTCACTATACTTGCTTTCATTCTCTGACTTACGCACTTGCAAACCATGCTTCTCTGCTTTCTTTGCTGGAGTGTTCCAATTACAACTTCCGACACAAGATGTCACACCCATTTTATTTTTCATTATTTGACTTGAATGATATTATAGGCTTCTGTACTCGTTGCATTTGAATGGAGCAGAAAATCAGATGCAAATATTTTTCAGTTTAGGAAGGCAGGTAGATTAGAAATAGCAGAAAGCCTGAATTCAATATCCTATGTTTGGTGCCTAGTCAATTCTAAGAGAATAATAATCGAGCTAGATATAGTCAGCACTAGAACAAATAAAGTTTACTTACAATAGTGATACATATTTCTGTTTCTGATTTAAACCCTCACTCTTCCAGACCTAAACTAACAGCTGTGTCATCTGAAGTCTTTTCTCTCATTTATAAAACATTTGATGTCGATCGCTTTATCAAACTAAAAGCCTCACCTTTGTAAATGAAACAAACAATTATTCCAATTAGTTTGTGCATTCATATATGGATAGTGATAATAGTATTGATGTTGAACTCGAAGTGATTGAATTTTCTTCAAAAATGAGAGACAAATGGTTTGGAGTCCGAAGAACTGAAGCTTGTATTATCTCTCTCTACTGCTTGCATGATTTACTAGATGTATCTATTTTCTTCCACTTTTAAATCCAATGATGACGTCCCGCCCTCCTGCTGCTACTGATCCGCCGTCCTGCTGCTGCTGACGTCCCGCCGTCCTGTTGCTGCTGCTGTCCCATCCTCCTGCTGCTGCTGATATCCCCGTCCTGATGCCGCTGTCTTGTCTGCGAATTAGTTTGTTGAAGGAAAGAGTTTAGGTTTGTACCCGAGTACAGCTTTGGAGGCTTTGGGGACAGGGAGCCCTCTCTGGACGCAGTTGTTTTGTGGTGGTGGGAGTTTCATAATATCTCCCACAGGCAACTTAATTGCTGGCTCAAATCATGAAGGTGATACACTTCTTGTTGCAAATTTAGGTGAGTGATGGAACTGTGTAGTTGACTTGTTGGTAAGCCGACATGTGTGTCGATTGTTTGTGAAATCTGAAGCAATTGTTTGAAGCTAAGTACAGTTCAGTTTGCACATTGAGTTTATTACTAGACAGAGTCCGTAAGTGTTTTTCAAGCTGATTTTTATAGCATATATGAGTAGGAGTTCCATCCTGTTGTTGGTCATAATTTTGTATTGGTATTTGTCTCCCAACACTAGAATTTACAGCATAAGTTTGGTCTCGATTAGCATCTTAAATATTCATGGAATGATTATTTGGTACTTATCTAGCACGAAAGTTGCACTTTTTAATACTAGTACTCGAATTTCGAATCAAAGAAAAAATTATTGCACTGTTTTTGTCTCTTTTCGGAACTTACAGCTGAAGTGAGGTAGCGATTTACAGCTAAGATTTGCCTGAAAAGATTATTATCAATTTATGTAGCACTCAATTCGAACTTTAGAATTTTGTAATACAATACTCGCATTTCGCGAAAAATATTGGGATGAAGTGATGTTCGCGGTTGTCCCGGTCGCGGTTATCACTTGCCTCATGTCACCTGACCCGAGGGATGTAATATATCCGGGGAATGACCACCGGAGTGAACCCGGATTTGAACACAGGATAATTCCCAAAGTGTCACTCGTTTCATTGGGCCAGAATAGCTTTTTGTCCATGAACCATATCAGCTAGAAATTTAGGATTCCTGACAAGAGAAGAACTCAAACACTTTCACCTTGTGGAAAGCTCCAAATTAAATTTGCAGATCAAAGCTTACACCCGGAAACTCGCATGAGGCAAATGTCACTCTTTAGCGACATTGCTTGTTACAGTGGGACCAAACTTTAAACTTCATTCTTCCTAGAACGTCTTGACGTTTTCATCACCATTTGATCAACTTTGCGTTTTGTCTTTATAAAATTGACCTTTTGAAAAGAGTTCATACAACAGAGGTACTCCTCTCTTTAAGACAAGCCAGAACTGTTTTTCTCCTTATCTTCTTCCCGTAGTACGTTCTACACCCGTGAGTGTGGATGTTTTGGTCCTTTGACCTGAACATAGTCCACATTTGTGCTGTCCTGGAAAATATTTCCTCACTCACTGCTTTAGCCGTGGTTAAACTTATGATGTGCCAGATGTTAGCCTAATTTAAAAGGCAGAAATGAACTCAATAGAAGCGACGCGAAGACAGACGGAGTTCCAATCAAGGGTCCTACACTTATAGGAGATTCCCAAGAAGGAGCTCGAGAAACACAAATAAGCTTAGAGGTAAGTAGTTCTTGTATTCGTGTTCCCTGGTGGGATTAATGAAAGTGTCTAAATATAGCACAGTTAGAGCTCTCGATTAAAATACCTTCTTATTTTTTCCTCTTACAAAGTAGCACCTTACGTATGAAATCTTTGAGCAGGGCCTCTGAGTCTTGTTTCAGATTTTCAGCCAATTGTATAATGAAGTTAGACTTGAATCTTTTTTTTATGGGCTCTACACCCCCATCCTGCAATATCTGCTCCCGGGTTTCGATACATCACTAACTAATAGTAACAATGATAAAAAGCAAACTGTTTGCCATGATGTATTCACGAAGGATCGGGGATGGAGCCTCTTGGACAGAAAATTATTACCCAATATTCGCAATTTGGGAAAAAGATGGAATGAGGTGAAGTCCGCAGCGCCTCAGCTGGTGAAGAGACAGAGGCGATATCACTTCACTAACATCACCTGATATCAGGGATTTAATATCGCCTGTCCCTCCCCACCAGCCGAAGGGATCCGGATTTGAACTCAGTACCTCCAGTTCCCGAAGTGTCACCCTTTCCATTGGGCCACAATCACTTGGTGTCCAGGAAACAAATCAGTTCGAAATTTATGATCTTAATGTTCTCACTGAATAACTCCTGCTGTACCGCCCTCCTGCTGATCCGCCCTCCTGCTACTGAAGTATCGCCTCCTGCCGCTGTCGCTGTACCGCCCTGCTGTAACGCCCTCCTGCTGCTGTTGTTGTTGTCCCGCCCTCCTCTTGCTGTACCGCCCTTCTGCTGCTGATGTCCCGCTCTCCTGCTGCCGCTGTTGTTCTTTCGCCCTGCTGCTGTCTGCGAACTTTCTACTTTAGTGTTCAAAGTAATGACAAACGTACAAGTCCTTCAGCAGATTGTCTAATATCTTGACATGCATTTCTCCGATGGGTAATTCGATTGAGTATTAGAAGAAGTAGAAGAATTTGTTATATCAGTCAATGGAGGTTTAGTTCGGAGGTTTTATATCTGGCAATTAATGTTTAGTTTTATGTAATATGTGCCTCCTTAACCAAATTTGTTGTCATCAAAATCCCGAAGGATATTTAACATTACGACGTCGTTAGGTTTGTCGTAAAAGAGTGTACATTTTTTTATCTACTCTTTCAAGATTATAATCGTGAATTTTCCAAGTAAATCACACTGTAGGGCGGGCGTATATCCTTTTTTCCCTATATGTGAAAATGATGACGATGTGGGCCGCTCTCTGTAACACAATATCCATTTCCGTTGGTGGGCTTCCGTTTTGGACTTATGAGTAGCTTGAATATGAAGCTAATGATTGCAAGAGTTACTTCTATGCAATGATATTCCCAAGTTGATTTCGAATTTTGTTTTGAAACTACAAACTTTCAAGTCGCGAAGGGATTGCAAGAGTGGGTCATACTCTTGCAGTCCATTTGTGACTTTTGATGTAGAAAACTCGGAATTTTGTAAGTTCCACGACGAAATATTTGACTTAGGTGAAGGAAAACAACGGCAATGTGCTAGATGCAATGCCCTTCTATCGGTATGAGCATGTCATCTAGCACATTAGTAGACAAATGAACCTATGAGTTAAGGCTTTGATTGGATTCTGGATGGATTGTAAATGGATGATCGGTGTAGTGTTATTATTAGCAACAAAAGGATATGACTTCCAGAAAGCAGTTGAGTATCAACCGTAAGGTCTCAAAAAATTAAGGTTACTTCTGATAGTATAAAACTGGAAGGGTGTGAAGATCCAGAGGTTTTGATTTTTGCTTTCCTTTATTGCAGATCTTGGTGAAGTTGTGAAGGCTTAATCCGACTTTGACGTTGTAGGTCACTACTCCAGGCCAGACGTTTTCAGTCTCGTCGTCAGAGTTGTGCCTTCTCTTCTGACATTAGCATCAGGTGGGATCTAATGTAACGTCGAGCTCTGTGAATATGAAACCTTATGTTTTTTGACTTTTCATTTTTTTGTCACGTTCTACTTACGAATCCTGATAGTAAACATGCCATTGTAAGCTAGTTCTAGACTTTCAAATATTATTCGTGTAGTTTCATGTTCCGTTGTTTTCATGTCTTTCACAACCAATTCAAATTTTCTGTAATGGTTACCGATGTAGAATGACTCATATATTTTAGGGGAAGTAATGCAGAAGTAGAGACTGCCACTCTGCAACCCATTAATCAGTAATTTACTGGAAGGACAATCAATTGGTCCTGAATTTGAGTCTAAGGTTTGCCCCTGTCACAGTATCACGTCTCACCCGTCTTGATTTCAGGAAGACCGGCAACGTGTTTTTTCTGGGATGTAGTTGAACACTAATACATAATCATCAAGTAAACTTCATGAACTGGTAGTTGTTCAAGGCAGTTTGTGTCCCCATTACCCATAGTTTACTTTACTGACATTTTCATATATTGGGAGGGTTACGGAGAGCGAAGAAGTTAGGGTCGTCAAGGCACATTCGCACATTTGGCGCTTAAGCATACCAAAGTAGCCTAACACTCAAGTCGTACATTTGGGAAAATCTCAGTGCGTGCTCGGGAAAGTCCCAACATAGCAATCTAAGAAAGCGCCGTATTATCTAACTCCGTTTGTAGTAGGTTTCCTGGGGTATTAGTGCCATCTTTGACGTGGACGGGAAGAACGTATGAAGTTTTAGTATCTCAAGGCGTGCCTTGAGATACTAAAACTTCATGTTCACTTCTGTTCATCAGTTATGATGAGTCTTTTACAGATTGCAAAAGACACCATCTTCTAACTCAAAAGAAGGTGTGAGATCAATGAGTGACATGGAACCACATTATCCCTGTAGATAACAGGGATAATGTTTTAGTCTTAAACGATGGGTCATGGTTCGTTCTTTTGCAGTTTTTGTTATGATTTTTTCGATACTTACTAGTAGTGGAAGAGTTTTGAATACTTTACAGTAAGGTGTTCAATAAACAAAGTTGATATGGGCAGCGGAGAGTGAGTAGAGAATGTAATAATTTATTGGAAGGTAAGGTATCAAGAGATAGGAAACGTCGAAGGATCAGAACAGAGCACATATTATTTAATGCTTCCAAAACTGGCACCATTACCAACGTAATGTCCGATATTGAAGTGGACTTTGCGTATATATTTACATTCGTGATTCCATTAGGGCCTTGCCCCTTTCTACTGGTCACTTTCGTACAAGCTCTTTGTGGTCGTCTGGTCTTGAAACTTTTCTGCTCTATCCGAAAGAACTGATCATCTACATTCGAAGCAAGAAACTCCTGATCGTGGCCAGAGGAAAAGGCAGCGGTGCTGCTTGAGAGGTAAAAATCTACTGAATGACGCGTATGGGATATTGATGAGAAGTACAAGGACACGGAAGGTATATTACAGTATTTTCCGGTCACGAGCTCGAATGGATGAAAGACTCTTTCCAAGTGGACGTATAGGCCACTTATGGAACCTGAAGCGCTGGTTTCAATCCCGGAGAGGACGCAAGTGAAGTTAAACTTCAGGACTACTTATTCGTGAAAATTTGAAGTACATTGATAAAAAGTACTTGTCAAGTACATTGAAGTACTTGACATTGATAAAAAGAATTGATTCCTACTTTGTAGAGATCCTCTCAGCCACCAGTGAATGACTTTGTTTCGTCTTTACCTTTATCTATTCTCAAAGTATGACTGCTCTCGTCGTGTATATATGGCGCACGTCTTACACACGTCACAATTTTGCACTCTACTCTCGTTTTGAGGTTATTGTAAAATTTGTTGAAACAGAAAACTGTCTTCGTCCAGAAGTTACAATAGGGTTGATATGATTATGATTATATCTATAAATCAACTCTTCTTATGTTACCCCCAATATTTTCAAGCATTCTTACTTAGACTTTTATAAGCTTGACTCGAACATCACTTGTAGCCGTAGTGAAACCTACCAAATTTCCTTACCTCAAGTACGTAGGACTTAGTATCAGTAGTATCACCGGAGAAGGACAAATCTTCGGAGTAGCCGACGAAGGGGATACTCGTATCTCAATGTTAAGTTTGACACAAGTAGAAGTTGGGATAACGCAGGAAGTATTGAAGTGTTATGAAGTGTTATGAGTTCGCGTATAGGGTGGTGAATGACGTACATGATTGTATGTGATCTTTACTTTCTGGGAGATTCGACTCTGCTTGCCATGTGGGTAACATGAGGTGAACATTGTAGTCCAACCGACTACACTACTGCATACATCTTGATCCGATGAGCTTTAACTACGTTCCCAGTCACTTCATAATCTGGACCTCAGTCTTAAGCGGAACATGCGGTGTTTAATTTATCCCCCTTGGTACATATATACAACATTTTTAATCACTTTGCCTGTCGTCGTGGCGGTCAATACGTCAAACATGTCAGACATAAATCCTTGCAACTAAATCCTTGTTCATGGATGTACTACGTACTTAGACAATGCAACTTAACATCTGTCTTTGCGTTTGTATGTTGCAGCAATAAATATTGAAACGAGGTGAATAGAATTATGCTGTCTAAAAAACGCATTTCAAAGTGAGAGAAAAACAAATTACCGTCCTATTTCTAATGCTCTGAGTCGCTTCTAGTCTCCTTCGCAGCAAATTCCCTAGGTGGCTCGCAAATCCACCAAAACTAAATAGACATAGGAGAAACTTCAATTTTCAGTTTGTATGCACGGACGAATTTGACACACAACTCAAACTTTGTGTCGAAACTTTCCAGCATGAGCACTTTCCTCTACGTAACCTTTCCACATATTCGAAGTTGATAGGAATTTGTTCTTGTCATAGGCCAACTTTGTAGACTACGATTCCATTTATGTAAATTGAGTATCAAACGAAGTTCTTAGTTTAGACTACTAAGTTTGAGTGTCCTGATACAGCGCGAAGTTGGAGTTATGTTTTCAAGATAACAAGAACGGAGAAAGCTATTCATTTGCATTTTAGTAGGTATGATTGTGGCTACTCTCTTCTTCTGTGAGGATATTTATATAAAGACATGATTAAACAGAAGGACATTGTTCAGGAAACAGTTGATTCCACACAATCGCTATGAAAACCCACAGCCATGATACTCTTGCTCTCGGTAAGAACAACAGTCTCGAGGAATAGATGAGCCATGATACTCTTGCTCTCGGTAAGAACAACAGTCTCGAGGAATAGATGAGCGATGAGTTTAGATAAATGATCAAACTATACTCATGAAACTGGCTGGCCTGACCTGAGGCCCAAAGACACACGGCCCCCACCCGACCGAACGGTGCTAACGTGTTGGAAGAAAAATCTGAAACCCTCGAAGGTTGTCATCTGCAACTATCACCAGGGAGCTGTATTCGTAGGCTGTGAGGTAAGGCACTCGTAAGGCTGCACGGCTGGAATCTTTCTTTTCCGCCCAAGCTGTGTCCTCGGAATTCTTCTGGGAAGTACACTTCTGGGCACTTCTCTCACATGTGACACATCGGATGTCCGCGTGATGTTTCGTTCTGAGTTTCGAGGCTAAACTTTCCACGGCACACCCCAACGCGTTCCGAGAGGCGGGGTGGCAACAGCGTGCGTAGGTCCACCGCAAGATATGAGCTGCAAAATAATGCGAAAAAATTCCACAGCTTGTACACTTGGCGTGCTCTTTGTTCTTCGGTTGGGCTATCTTTTCATGCCTTCGTATTTTCCTCTGGAGCAGATTCTTATGGAATAACAAGTATAAGTGTTACGGTGCACATGAATCTCTGCAGGAGCTTCCCTATTTCATCACCCGGGAGATATTCATGTGTTCCCTCCGAAACCATGCCTCGTCAAATGTTGACCATGCAGACGCAGACGCAGAAAGTAATGCGTGCGAGTGAAAATACTTACTACCTTGCTTGAAATCGAACCTTTGTCTGAGAATTGTGAAATGTATTCTTTTTTTCACATCTAAATGAAAGTAAGCTGTTTTTTTTAATATATATAAAACATAATCACATTTAATGAATTTAATGAATTTCTATGAACGAATCCCATGTTTCTGTTCTCCAGCGACTCTATTGTTGAAAGAGACCCTTTCTCTGGATCTGGCCAGGAAGGAAACATATGATGTAAGTGAGAAGCTTGAAAACACAAAACAGGAGGCCATTATAAGTTGTGAATTGAGGGTGTCGAAAATACTTGCAAGTTGTAACGCTGAGCAGAATGCCATGCACAGACGGCGATCGTGAATTACAACAAGCAGATCTTGGCAATATAAAAAAAAGGGAAATACACAAATTCGATCGACAGAAACCGAACCGTGATAGCGCTTAGAAAAGGCCCTCTCTACGGAAGGCGGTGAGAATAAAGGGTTCTCGCAACATCCATTCAGGCGAGCCATATCTCGACGAAACAAAGGATGATTGATGATCATGATTGATCAAGGCCCGAGCCATAGATTAGTCACATATATAGATGCCCTTAGGTCCTGAAAAGCGAGAGAGTGAGTGGGAGTTGCCAAACGGGAGCAAAGCGTAACGGAAAAAAACATTCTCGTGCTTCATGATAGTCACTCGGATGAGAACTAAGAGGCACCAGCGAGCCAAAAGGCAGAAGTGATCCTCGCAGTGGCATCCGTGACAGGGCCGTCGAAATTGGAATTCTGAAACACCAGAGCTGAATTCGCTCGTGATCCTCGCATGAAGAGCTAGAGGGCATGGAGACGACATCGAGAGAAACGGAAGCCTTGGTCCCGAGGTCCCGAGGTCGGTCGGGTTGGCTGTTGTATGATTTGTCAGACTCGTCGCGTTCCGCTGTCGTGAGAAGAAGGTGCTGGGCCTCTGGCTAGCCTTGCACGAGGTCACGAGGTCACGGGGTCAAGACGAGAGAGAGTCCACGAGACGCACCTTCAGCTGAACGAAGCACTGCCTGCCAGCCAGCCAGCTGCGCATGTGCAGTGAGATAGATATCGGGTTGTGCATGGCCTGGGTGTAACTGGGCTAGACCCCCAAGTCATCGAGCTGGGCTCTGCAAGTCAAGCGAGCTATGGCCTGGGGACTGGGGCCTGGGGCCTGGGGGCTGGTGGGATGAGAGGGAGAGGGAGGGGGGCGGGGGCGGCCTAGTCCAGGACTGAATTCGTGCAGGACTGATTCTTGTTAAATCCGATCCGGTGTCTGTGTCGCTGGGAGGCGTTCTCGTACCACCACACATCGATTCGAAGATTGATGCTGTCAGTCAGAGGAGCATGTGTTCCTTAAATTTGGCGCTTAAATTTTATTTTCTGACACGAGGTCTTGTCTTGTTTCGAGCGATGGCACGAGAAGCCTAAAGGGGGAAGACGACGAGATGGGGCTGGGGAGTTGTTTTTTGTGCCTATTTTTCTTTAACTCTCATGGCACGAGGGCACGAGGGCCTGAGGGCACGAGCAGTATCGGGAGAGGAGACTTTTTCGGGCTCAGGGTGCCCGAGAGTTCAAACCGAACTTCAAACATATGATATGGATGGATCCTGGGACATGGCAGTGCGTCCTGAAATTGCATGAGGGCTCCGGTGACAGGGAGCTGGGGTGTTTGAAATTTGAGCTCTACGCTCACACCCTCGTCACCTCGGCCTAGCTCCTGTCGCCGCCCTTCTCGACCCCGGCCCCGTGCCCGTCGCCTGCCTGGCCGCCCTCCCTGGGGGTGAAGAATTGAAGAGATAGATCTATTGGGTGGGTAGGTAGTTGTATGATTGCGGCGTGCAGTGCATATGAACTCCATGTTCGGGGGCTTTTACTCACTCAATCACTCACAATCAGAGCACCTCGTTTGTTTATATACTATCTATCTATGCGAGGAACAAGAGGAAGATAACGTATGACAAAGTAGCCATGCTGTTCGTCCGTCCTGTCCATCTATCTAGATGCTATTGATTGTAGGCTCTGAATTATGAGCCCTTCGACTGCAGCTGCAGCACCCGCAGCAGCAGCAGCAGCAGATGTGCAGTGGAGCATGGCCCCGACCTTTCTAGCCTTCTTTGCCAGGGCCACCCGCACCCGCACCCGTGCGTAGGTCCAGGTCCAGAGGGCTCGGCGATGGACGAGGGAGGTGGGTAGGGAGCCGGAGGCTGGGCTCGGTGAAGCCCGGATGCATATATTCTCCCCGTCCCGCACCTTTTAAAAATTCTGCTCCTTTCCCGTCCCACATTCTCTTGCCAAGGTTTTCCTTGGTCGAGAGGATTCTCCCACGCGAGGGGCCTCCAGAGCAGAGCATGGAGCATGGACTTCAAAAGCGGACGCCCTACTGCCTACAGTGGCTCTACGAGCTCGTCCAGCCCCTAGAGCCAACAGGTCGTCGCGCTGATGGTGCTGCCGATGCAGCTCCTCCGGAGCTGGAGTCGAAGTCTGGGTCGCTTTGTCCTGCACCTCATTGATAATTATTGATCGGCTGGCCTCGCGTATTTTGCTTCATGCCATTGGGGTTCGCATGCCTTGTCCGATAGAGATGACCGATTTCGGGCGAGCGTCGTAGAAGACGAGGGCCTACGGATTTGAATCATGAATAGAATCTGAGTCCAAATTTAGATGCACTCGGACTTTTGGGGGGTGCAGATAATAAGACCAGCGCAAGCAACAGCACCCGACACCAACCAGATTGAGGGGGAGAGAGAGCGAGGGAATGGATATGGCCTTTCCCGCTTTACTATACTACTCCATACACCATTCTCTACCTTTGTTTGCCCAAGTTCAACTGGCTGCTGCTGCTGCTGCAAGCCTCCATTCCCTCGCATTCCCTCATTTTGTGCCTTTGCCGGTTGGACCTTTTTGTTTTCTAGCGTGGAAGCAGCGATGGCCTTTTTATTCATTCAATAGCGTGTTCTTTATTGGTTCGGCCGATCAAGGCATGTTGTAATCCTGGGGGTCTCGAAAAATGCAAAGCTTCTTCGGCACGCCCTCCTCCTCCTCCTCCTCCTGCTGCTGCTGATCCTCCTCCTCCTCCTCCTCGTCGTTCGTCGTCCCCACTTTTGGACATGCGCTCGCGGATGCATAACATGTCATGTCGACTTGCTCGAGGGGGGCTCCAACTACATTCACCAACTGTACCGCACTGTCCTGTGCTGTACGAGGTTCGGGGGCTGTCGTGGCCGCAGATCGACCGCATGGCGTTTGTGGTGGTGACCGACTGACTTTGTGGTAGTCCTTGCACTGTACCGCCGCTGACCCGTTTCCTTCATTTCTCCCTCGCTGCTTCCCCCTCGCAAGCAACGCGAGCGCGCATCACTCGAGCTCCGAGCCCGGCCTGCGACTAGAATCCTGTGGCGGTAGAAGTAAATTCCCCCTCCCCCCGGGGCTCAGCATGGGCGGATCAGGCAAACGGTCGCATGACAGGGAACGAATATGGTTCCCCGGCAGCGGCCTGGAAAGTCCTCGTGGGCTCTGGAGGGGCTGGCCGAGGCCCAACCCCGAGCCCAAGCCCAAGCCCAAGCCCGGGCCGAGCGAGGGCTAGCCCCGGGACGGGGGGTGGGGGGGGAGAGGGTTGGGGTGCTTTGATTGCGCTAATGATAGACGGCGCGGCCGACCTTCGAGCGTCAGCAACAACGAGAAATGCTAAGGACGACGATTAGGCGACGGGGTCAGATCGGATCATGGACTGTGGCCTGCTGCATTAGAGTTAGATAACATTGAATTAGGCGGGGCTTTTGTTCTCCAAAATTCTTGGACGGCCTCGCCAACTGACCATCCACATCTGCCCACACAGTGCCTCCTGATGATCAGATTCATGCCGAAGCATGCGAAAGTCCTTGCCCTGCATCTGGAGATGAGGACGAGGAGGGAGGGAGGGACGGAGGGAGAGAGAGAGAGCACCCTGTACATAAATTTGTCTGGGCTCAATCCGACCCGGCAGCAGATCAGAAAGTCCAATCTTCTGCCGCTGCTGTGGAAAGAATGCGCTCTAATCAACACATGGTCGATTAATGATTAACATTACAGCATAAGAATGATGAACCGATCGAGGGGCGAGGACCGTCGCAGCTCGGGCTCGTGGATGGTGCAAACCGAAGACGGGACCGTCACGCGTGGGACGACGCAGGCAGGCAGGCAGGCAGGCAGGCAGGCGGGCAGGAGGAAGCGAGCGGGCGATCAATGCAGCGGGCAAGGGACGGATCCCACTCGAAAGAGCGAGAGGGAGCGGCTCGAAATAAATATCGCTCTTGTCCCCATCTCCACCGCAATGTACCCGCAGAAGTACCAAGAGGCGGCGGTCATGACATGACGCACTGGTGAGTGAATGAATGACGGACGGACGGGGGACCGGACGGGGAAGGGGCGGGCGGGCGGGCGGGCGGGCCTGAGAGCCCCACTCGAAGCAGCAAGTGGGCGGAAGGTGGCAAATGCCAAGCCAAGCCACGCCAGCCAGCGGCATCAGATTGAATGAGCAGCAACGCAGCCAGCTCCAGCCTCCAGTCCAGTGCAGATTGATTGCCGTGCCAAGGACCGGATGCGCGAGGCGAGTGACGGCGACCTATCCTATCCCGATCAATCGATTTCCCGGACAAGGACAACCATTTCCAGCCCGGAAGACGACAGGGGGCGGGGAGGGAGAGGGTGCGGTGGAGCTCCAGCTAGCTCGCGGCTTTTTGTGAACGGAGCGAGCAAGCGAGCGAGCGAGCTCATCATTCCGAGCCACATCGATGGTCCGACGAGTCGCGAACGCGCTGCGACCGATCCGCATCGCCGATCGCGCATCGCTTTGACCGGAGGCGAGAATCTGGTGCGTGATGTGCGTCGAAGTCTTCTGATTCTCGGAATTCTATCCCTCCGCTCGAGCCCTCGAGTCCTCCTTCTTTTTTTTCTCTGATCCCTGACACTTTCTGTCAAATCTCTGCCGTGCCTGCGGCTATGGCGGCAGCTGCAGGCAGAGGACGAGGGAGAGGGAGAAGGGGAAGGGCGAGTTTGGACTCGCGGCGGGGGGAGCCCTTCGAAGACTGATGCTGCGTTCTTGCCTGCCTGGGTCTACGGGAAACTCACAAGTTGGAGAGTGGAGTCTTCGAGCAGAGCAGAGCAGAGCAGAGCAGAGCTGAGCTGAGCTGAGCTGAGCAGAGACGAGCAGAAGATGGCGGGCCACGTGCTGCGCGCCATGCATGCATCTCGCATCCTGCACAGATCACATGTCGCATCGCTTGGGCGGTAGCGTAGCCGCCATGACATGACATGACCGCTACGCACGCCACCTATCGCTGCCGTGCTCCCACGACGGGCCAATGGTGAGCTGCCCACCTCTGCTGCAATGCTGCTGGGCTTTACCAATATATCATCAACCCAAGTCCGCAGTGCTGCTGCTGCTACTGCTGCTACTGCCGCTGCCGCTCTGCTCAGCTCAGCTCAGCTCAGCTGATCAGCTGCTGTATCATGTTCGTCAAACGCGAACTCATCGCTTCTCTCGTTCCCACCATCCCTTCACTCCAGCCCAGTCTGCTACGTCTGGGTCCCAGCACAGTATCATACTGGTGCCCAGGATTTTTTTGTCCCCATGGGCCACTCCCCACCTTGAATCGCAGCTAGCGCCTTGCCCTTCCCAGCCCTGCCATGCTACGCTATGCTATGCTATGCCCTGCCCTGCTTTCCTAGCTGCTGCAGCAGCAGCAGCACGCTGTTCTTCTCTGAGTTCAGTATCTCGTCACCCCCCTCGGCGACAAAAGATCAACCTCATCTGATAGAGCGGTCGAGAGCAGGCATAGTCAGCATTCATAGAGCCCACGGACGCTGACTCGGTTCAAAAATCACTTCGCTTCAGCTCCGGTCCAGTCCAGTCCAGAGCTGTCCAGTGCAGTGCAGTTCAGTTCGGAGAGGAAGGAAGGAAGGAAGGAAAGGAAGCAAGGACATGGCGGAAGCAAAGCAAAGCAGGGCAGGAGGGCAGGGATGGGATGGGGACGTAGGCAGACCAGAGAGAATTAGCACGACCTGTCAGGCTGATCATAAGCTCAAACTTCCAATTAGTCAAAGATGGCGTTAATCTACATGTCCAAGTTGTGATTTGCCTGCGGGGACCTTTCCACTGTTTCCGAGTTGTTATGACGTTACTTTCCAACGACAGACAGGGCATGCGGAAAATTTGTTCCCCCCACATGCTCATGCTGCTGCTGCTGCTGCTGCTGCTGCTGGCGCTGCCGCGGCTGCTAGTACTGTGAGGTTCGAACTCGAAGAATCTCAGGCGTACGTTCCCTAGATAAGTCGCCCGCCACCTTTGGTCTTTTTCCCTCTGCCGAGATAAGGTGGGATGAGCTGAGATGCGATGCGATCCATGAGCTTCGAGGCCAAATCGCCTCCGATGATGCAATTTTCAAGAACTTGGCCTCCCTCTCGCTCTCGTGTCCGGTCAAGAACATTTTACTGTACGTGTTATACACTATCGTGTCCGGTAGTCGTCTAACCGAAAGAACTATCTAGAAGTTGACTTGCCATCAGAACTTTTCATCGACAATATTAAAACAATTCCAGATCCGCGAGGTTTGGCTTATCGCGTTTTAACGTACTTTCCCCCGGCGCAAGCTTAACTGCAAAAAAAATATGATTTCGGGCCGCAGCATTCTCCCCCCCCCCCCCCCCCCCTCCTCTGTTCAAACGTGCTCGCGGGCTCGGCCACTTTATGTCATCAATTAGAGCCTGCCACACTCACGGACAGCGGCCATGGCAGTCGTTAAAACGTTGTAAAAGGTGATGAAAAGGCTAGCTAAAGGAGTACAATGCTGGTAATTCCCTGGGAGCGTTTTCATGTCCACACTTTTTGTGGACTAAGTCGTTTGAGAAAATGGTGCCCGCCTTTCTTCTAACTAACGCTTTCCTGTTTCAGAATGAGCGAATATTGAGATGATTATTTATATATTCTGAATTACCAGAAGAATAAACGACGAACCTTTTGAAGAAGATTGCCGAGGCCAGTTTCCTTCATGAGCCCCTTTTCGGCAGGCAGGCAGGCAGGCAGTCAGGCAGGGAGCGAGCAGGCAGGCAGGCATCTGGAATTTCGAATTTGTTCATCTTCCAAGGAAAATTCCTACGGCTTAATGAGGTCAGGTGATTCACTGACTGCCGTTTCACTGTCTTAACTCGATAATTATGGGCACATGAGCAAACTTTTGACGACATGAAGCAGGATTCTCCGGCATGTTTTGAAAGCCTTGTTTTGTCTTCCCGAGATCTCAGATAGACGCGCTCGCTCGCTCGCTCGCTCGCTCCTCCTCCTGGGCAGGACGACTTCCTTGTCCATTCATGAGGCGCGATACCAGCAAACGCCTCCACGTCTTCTATAAATGAGACCTCCGAGAAATTAAGTTGCTCGGTACCCCTTCTGTCCCGTTCTGGAGATCGTGCGAGATACACTGGCGTATGAGCTCGAGGTGTTGCCCATGGCTGCCCCGAACTTGATATTGACCACATGTTCGAGGGACATTGGCGTGCTCCCAAAGTAAATTCAATCTACCCATGTCCCTCCCCCCTTGGTTCTACACAATCGAGACCCGACCCAAGACGAGCATTGACTTGAGGGCGTTCAGTCTGTAAACGTGCATTGAACTGAATCATTTCCAGTAAACCAAGCCATGAGCGCTCGACGTTTTCCTTCAACTCTGTCCAAGTCTGTTGTTGTTGTTGTTGTTGCTGCTGCTGCTGGAGCAATGCAATGGAGCCCAGCTGGCTGAGACACAAGCGGACACAGAACCTGTTAAGAATCAGAAGGAACAAATTAGCAGATGTGAAATCGTCCTAGCTCGCCATGTATGGTTGGGGGGCCACAACTGGCGTGGGTCGAGGCAGGTCGGAGGGTCTCCGTTGTGTGGTTAGATAGACAGACAGAGGGAGAGACGGCGATAGCTCCTAAACAAACAGCGGGGATTCGACTACTACTACTACTACTACGTGCTTACCAGGGGTGGAGATATCATGGAGATATTCTGCCACCGTACCTCACTATGCTCGCTCGTTGAACCGATTTTATAATGTACGAGGGAGGGTAAAGGAAGTTCGAGGCCTACTTGTTGTCATGATGTGTGCCAGAAGTAAATGGTACAACCATCAGGAATCACAAGGAGGGTTGGAAAATCTAAGTTCTATGTTTTCTCAGCTGCCACAGTCAACTTCTGCAATAGGTACGTACCGATGACTTGG